GTCATCCAGAAGGAACCATTCAACAAGAAAAGGGCAGTGGGGGCATAAAAGGACTTTCCCAGAATTAAGTACTTTGTATATCTGGTTGATATTCTGAAGTAGCCAAGCCCAGAAAACACTGACTTCCTCTGTGTCTCCACATTATTAATAGTTTCTTTTAAGTTAATCTTTTGTTTTTTTAATCCAAAAAATGAAAGAAGGATAAAGAAACGTAGGAATGCTTTTCAATAAATATCTTCTTAAAAATTATAAGCACTTAAAGGTAAAGTCATAAAATTAGTTTGAATACATTATTCTCAAACTAAAAATGATTTTGCTTCAAAAATTAAATTTTCAGATTTATAGAGGTTATCTCAATATAATTTTGATTATGTACTTGGTGATATTTAAAATTATTCACCTTAAACAAAGAGTTCCTTTACAACTTGTCAAACCACATGGCTTCCTGGCCTATTATAGCAAAGTTTATTCCTGTTCTGCCTAAACAGACTACTGAAAGAAGACTGAATTATCCACCCCAGTCTTAGACTTCCAACTTGCATTATCAGTGTCTTCTGATTCTCTAATTTTGCAAGGCTTTATATTAAATTTCTTTACAATCAATTTCCTTAGGAAATTTTAAATATAGAGAGAAACAAAATTTTTCTTAGGTTTAAAAATCACTTCAGGTTAGCCAATTTATGACATGGTGAAGGTGGCCTAACTTAACTCTTTACCACACCAGTTTTCACACAAAAACTATGAACTCACACATTATATAGCTCACATAACTCAGTGAACTAAATTAGGCACAGTGACATGTACTAATGTCACTATCAGTGAATAATGAACTACTCACAGACGAAATTTAGTTAGGCTATAGCCATAACTAATATTACCAATAGCCTGATCAACTTCATTTATATGTATTATTTAAATTCTGTGGGTTTTGATCAATAATTCTCCACCTTTTTTACATTATCACCTCCCTAAGGACTTTGTTTTTTTAGATATTTCCTAATCACCCCCCATGCAGTTTTAATACCACACATAAACTATTTATCTGTTATGTACTGTACCTGTGCTTTATATATTAAAAAGAACAAAATTTTCCTCAAATACCCCCAGGAACCAATTTGCACTCTCCTAGTAAGGATCTTCTCCCCCACTGAGAATGCATGGTTTATTTAGATAAATAATTTGTTACTAAAATAGGGACTATATCTATAATTAAAATAAAGCTAAGCATTATAGAAGACTCATGAAGACTAAGAGAAAGACTCATGGCTACATTCCCAAAACTTTCCATTTAAAGACTGACAAGGAGCTGAGCTCGGTGGCTCAGCCTGTAATCCCGCGCCTTTGGGAGGCTGAGGTGAGTGGATTGCCTGAGCCCGCGGGTTCGAGACCCACCTGGGCAGTGAGACCTCATCTCTACAATAAATCAAAAAATCAGCCGGGCGTTGGTAGCGCATGCCTGTAATTCCGGCTACTTGGAAGGCTGAGGTGAAAGGATCGCAGGAGTCCAGCAGGTCGAGGCTGCGGTGACCGGGAGCGGCCACTGCACTCCGGTCTGGGCGACAGAGTGAGACTCTAACTCAAAAAAAAAAAAAGATTGACAAGGACAATTATTTAACTTTTAGTACCTGCTAAATAAAATTATCAAATTTTTCCATTTTAAAGGCCACTATCGTTCCTCCATTCTTCACTGATTTTACTGAGAGATCAGTAACTAAAATAATTTGTGGCTAACAAGTAAAATATAGTTAAAACCAAAAATATTAGAAGACCTAAAGTACTGTAAAATGGATAATATACATAAAAGAATCCTGACAATCAGAAGTATTACCAATTTACCTCACTGTAGAAAGAGTAGCTAAGTTTGTTAGAAAAGAACTATAAAGAAATGCTAGTGAGATGAAGAAAACTTTAAAGATAAATGCTTTAAAAAAATAAAAAAGCAACCATTTTACTAAGAGCCTTAAAAATTTCATTTATATTTACCTATAATTAAAACTTCTCAATATTAAAGTTCAAAAATATTTTTCTTTTATTAATATATCTATATCTCCCAAATGTCTTCTTCCAGCATACGTAAGGCTAACTCTCAATCACTGCTTGCTAAGGCTGGAACAGTAAAGGAAGGAGACACACCAAAGGGAACATCTTTTTCTCTGATCCATTATGGTTCCAGTCCCACCTCATTCCACCCACCCTAACATGCATCCAAAAGGAGATTAATGCAGTAAGGAAGGGGCTGGAATCACTTATAGCAAGCATATGTTATTCTTATAAGCAGCCAAAACAAAGATCTTCCTTCACCAAAACATAAAAATTTAAAAAACAGTTAATAGATGGGAGGATTTAAGCTTAAACCCATATAGATTTATTAATGCCATAGTTTTTTTATTAGGAATATAATATTTAAGGAACAGGCATATAACCCCAAATGCACCAAGTTATTACTTATTTTAAGACAAAGAAAACATTCTAGAATTTTATAATTGATATTATATTTGGTGTCCTTGTTCTCTTATCCTATGATTTGGCTATCTGAAGTTTCTTAAGACGTCAGCAGCATTACCAAAAACTGCAGCATTACTAAAATACCAGATAAAAAACACATAGCTTCATATTCTAAGGACTAAGCTATGCATGTCTTAAGTCTCTACTTACTGAAAAAATTAGACCACTAACGCTTTAGTCTACACTTAACTAAAATCTCAACTTTACTAGCAACTGTAAGTTTTCTATAATACTTTGATTCCATTTATTTTTAAAACAATTTTAATAAACTTATGTCACTAAAATCATGAGTTACTCTTTAAAATTCTTATTTTACCCTATGATGTGAAAGAGGTGATGCTCAAGTTCTCAATTTTGACAGGAGAAGGCTTTATTACAAAAATAAAGATAAATAAATATGAAAACACTGTGTGCTTGAGCCCACTGTGTAATGACCCACAGATACTTAATCATTAAAAACAGATACCTGACAGCTAAAGAATTACCAATAAAAGGTAAAACACTTATTTACAAATCAGAGGTAGCCGCCAATTAAATGCCCAGGTTTAAGGTCACTGAACACCCTTTCCATTTACATTACCATAAATCAATAGTGCTAGCACAAGGCAGTTTGACCAGAAAAATGACAGTTATCTAATGAACAACTTACAGTAGGAACCCTGATCTTTAATAATAATTAAGCTGCTACAACAATCAAAACAGCCTGGTATTGGTACAAGAACAGGCATATAAACCAATGGACTAGAATTGAGATTCCAGAAGCAAAACCTCAATTTCTCAACCAACTCATCTTTGACAAAGCCTCCGCCATCTACTACCGGGGAGGGGAGAACCTATTCAGTAAATGGTGCTGGGAAAACTGGCTGACCACATGAAGAAGATTTAAATAGGACCCCTACCTATCCCCATACACAAAAATTAACTCTAAATGGATCAGAGATCTAAATGTAAAACCTCAAACTATAAGAACCTTAGAAAATGCAGGAGACATTCTTATAGAAGTTGGAACTAGCAACCAGTTCCTGATCAAAACCCCAAGTGCTCATGCCATAAGAGATAAGATAGATAAGTGGGACCTCATTAAACTGACAAGCTTCTGCAATGCCAAAGAAACCATCAAGAGAGCAGGGAGACGAGACATCCCACAGACTGGGAAAATATATTTGCCAACTCCAAGTCTGACAAAGGCCTAACATCAAGGATCTACAAGGAACTCAAAGATGCTGAAAAGAAAAAAACAAACAGCCCTATTAAAAAGTGGGCAAAAGATATGAATAGACACTTCTCAAAAGAAGACATAGGAGCAGCCAACAGATATATGAAAAAATGTTCAGCTTCACTAGTCACCAAGGAGATGCAAATTAAAACTACACTGAGATACCACATAACTCCAGTCAGAATGGCCATCATCAATAACTCAAAAAATAACAGATGCTGGAGAGGATGCGGCAAAAAGGGAACACTTCTACACTGTTGGTCGGAGTGTAAACTAGTACAGCCTCTGTGGAAAACATTGTGGCGATTCCTAAAAGTTCTAAAAATCGACCTTCCATATGACCATGTAACCCCCTACTGGGAACATACCCAGAAGAACTCAAATCACTCTATAAAAAAGATACCTGAACATGTATGTTTATTGTAGCATTGTTCACAATAGCAAGAACATGGAACTAACCGTGCTGCCTAGCAAAAGATGACTGGATAAAAAAAATGTGGTACATATACACAATGGATTACATAGCCATAAAGAAGAACAAAATCATGAACTTCACAGCAACCTGGATGGAATTAGAGTTTATAATACTGAGTGATTTTCACAGAAACAAAGATCTGAGTATCATATGTTCTCACTCATAAGTGGACCTTGAACAACTACCGTAATACTATAATAAAAGGATTGACAGTAGTGGGAAATTGCGGGGAAGAGGGGAGTTGGGGAGGTGGGACTGACAGTAGTCGAGATCTGCCTGGGGAGGTGGGGGCATACCTCATCAACAAGGGCATCTGCACAATGAATATTTGTAAATCTACCCTGAATTGTACCCCACAATTAAAAAAAAATTTTTTTTAATAATAATAATTGAGCTTCGTCACCTAATTAAAAATAGAGTCAGGGATTAAAGAAAACAAGGTAGCTAAATGAAAAGTTAATTCAGAAAAAAATATAACATGAAAGTAAACAGTATTATAAAAATAAGGGAATTTTCCATCATAAGCTACATATTTACCATTCCATATATTTTATCTGTGAGAAAAAAATACTATTACAGTGTATTTAGCAGTCAATGTACCAAGCCAAGCACTGGGTTACAGCTAGTAGCACTGAATATAACACAGTTATGAAAGAAAATACATCTTTTTCAGAAAAAAGTTTTTAAGTGAATAAACTGATTCAATGAAATAATGCCTCAAAATATATGCTAACTAAAAGACCAGAAGCATAAAACCCAAAAATGTTAAGCAAGAAAAGAGGTAAAGATTTATAACAAATTTACCTTGGCTCTGCAACCAGCTTTATTATATTTCTTTGTGGCAGAGAATCTTGTGATTTTTGTTTCAAATCCTATAAAAAGGAATATTTTATTTTACTTTTAAAATTTAAGTTTCAAAATTAGCTACACAATAGCACCTTGTAAAAATCTTGAAATGGATAGCACAGGGAGGGGAAAAAAAGTCTCTCCAGCTACATAAAATCTATTAAAATTCAAAATAACTAATCCAAATGTGCATGTACATATGCACGTGTGTATGTGTGTATTCTGACTTCAAGTACAACATATGTTATAGGGGCTAGCATCTATGATGGGTAAGTTCCATTTAGAAATTAAATCAGAGTTTAGAGATAATTATGCAAAAAGCTATACTACTTTAGTTTTATATCATGTTTTATATCCTTAAAAAAGTATGTCCATTTCTTGCATTTTTTATTTTAATATGAAAATGTTTAATCATGACTCGATTACAAGTATCACTACATGAAAATGTGAAATCTATGTCTGATTCCAGATGTAAAAATTCAAATTACATGTACAATTACGAAGCCTATCATTCATAATAGGTTCAAATGATAAATAAATTACAATTTAAAAATATCTGAGTTGCCAAGTGGAAGTGTAAAGATGCTTGAAATCAACCATTTTCTCAACATCTTCCTTGCTGCAGTATAACATGCTCTACTTTTCATAGTACATTCTATCTTATTAGCTTTTCTGATTCTTGCAGCAGCTCAAGGCAAGGCAGACATTATCATTTCATTTTACAGATAAATGAATGAGGGCTCACAGATGTTAAGTAATTTTTTCGAGGCCCCAACAATCAGGGTGCCAGGTTGAAGCTAACTAATTCCTTAATCAACGCTCTACTGTGACACGTATTACAGCCTACCCTTAGCACTTCATGGACCTATCCTGAAACCAGAAGATCATTCACATTTACATTTAGCAAGAATAGATTAAGGGCTTACAAAAATTCAAACAGCAAGGGATTTTTAATTAAAGCCAAACAAAATAGCTGATTACTAAATATAATGTCTTATAACATCGTCTTAGTGTTCTAAAAGCCTATATTTTTCACATACTTTGAAATCCTTATAAAAAAGTACAGGTCATTTATATGAAGTGATACAAATTTTTTCAAATAATATACAAAGAAACAATATTTCAATGTCTCTTTCATTAAGCTTATCATTCCCCTTTCTAATATAAAAACAAAAGAATCACACATTTTAAAGATGAATATAGAAGAGATCAACTAACCATCTCTAGGAAGGTATCAGAAAAGTAAGGGTCATATGTGTGTTTGTCCTTCAAAATGAGAAGAAATGCAGAATTTCCAATAATCTTCTCCAAAATCATTAATGAATGAAAGAGTCTGTAAACCAAAAATTTTATTAGTCTGAGAAGTAACTTAAAAATCTTCATACAATATTTTCCATTTTAAAAATAATGGCCAAAACATCAATATTTTCATCTTATATTCATAAAGTAAAACTACAATGAACTAGTAACAAACTGGTTCTTTTTCCCCAAAACTAAGTATTTACAAAAATGATAAACAAGAAGATATTACTGGTAAGGATTTATTTAAAATTGAAAGTTGAAACATATAAATTTGTTCAAAGTCCTTAAACTTTCTATAAATATCCTATCAAATAATAAGACTATCCAGGATAATTGCTCCCATAACTGTAATGCATTCTTATCAAAAAGTAACAATTGGCTTCTTAACTTTAGGAAAAAACAAGCAAGGGTTGAGACAACAACAAAAAAAAAACCCATAGGATTAATCATTCGTCAACCAGTATATTTGTCATTTCCCCAAGAATTAAAAGAGACATTTTGTGTGGGAATGGTGGCTCATGCTTGTGATTCCATCACTTTGGGAGGCCAAGGCGGAAGACTTGCTTGAGCCTAGGAGTTTGAGACCAGCCTAGGCAACACAGCAAGACCGCATCACTACAAAAAATTTTAAAAATTAGCCTCGTGTGGTGGTGCATGGCAGTAGTGCCAGGTACTTGGGAGGTAGAAGGATCCTGTAAGCCCAGGTCAAAAATACAGTGAGATGTGATTGTGCCACTGCACTCCAGTAAGGGTGACAGAGTGAGATACCAACTCATAAAACATATACATGCATACATACATACATACATGCATAAAGAATAAATTAAGAAATAGACATTTTGTTGAATTTAGTTTCACATTATTGCTCATAAGAACTAAAAGGAAGAGTTTTTCTCAGATCTAGATAATGACACTGTCTTCATTCCTGTTACTTTTCTCGGTCATTGAAATTACTAACTTGTATTCAAATTGTATTTTATGTCTGAGGAACAAAAAGGATGTTTCAGAATCTATTGGTTCAAGACTAATTCTAGAAAATAACCTCTGTCCACCACTAGCTACTGCTAAAAGACTATTGATGGGAAAATAACTTGTTTGAAAATTTTTTTTCAAATTCAGTCATGCTTCCTTATGGATTTACAGAGCAGGCATTTCTAGGTAACTTATACAAGAGACATCTGTAGAGAATCCTCGTTAATCGCGTTTTCAATTATATTATTTTTTCCAATACAAAAAGCAACTTTGGATCTATGCCTTAAAGATATTTTTTGTTGTCATGCAACAAAAAAAAATCTATAAAAGACAATGGAAATAATATCTTTTTTGCAGAGCCCTTTTTCCACCTCAACCTCCCAAGTACCTGGCATTACAGGTATGCACCACCACGCCAGGCTAATTTTTTAAAGATGTAAGTGATCAGGATCAATGTTATTAAATATATTTACACAATAAATCAATAGTTTTAATACTGAAATCTTATGGATTTGCATCCACGCTATCAGACAATGAAATGTCTCATTATACTTAAATGTCTTCCTAGATAGTACTAATTGTTCTCACCAGACTAAAAGACTGTATAAATGAATGCAGTTAAGTTATAAAAATAAGTCCTTCAATCGGTTTATTTCTACTGTCTACATGGCTGTCTTTCTTAGGCAGCCTGAGCCTGCAGAATAAAAGTCATGTTTTCAACTAGCTAAAACCACATATGTATTATAGTATATTAAAAAGTCCTAATTAAACTGAGTGGAAGCCAAGAATCATCCAATATCCTAAAGGTATACATGTAGCCTTCTCAAGAGACGAATTATAAGACTACAGCACAGCATTCCCCAAATGCTTTCTCAAGATGTATAGAGTTGCTTTGTTTAAAACAAAACAAAGCAAGACACAGTACATAATTTGGGGAAACACTGTGTAAATGTTTCAACATTTCATTAATATGGAATTTCCCAGGGCCTCTAATTTCCTAACATGCACTTATCCTATTAATATGGAACACAGTTCAGGAAAAAAATTTACTGAGGAATCAGTTTTATAGTTTGCTGTCATTGCTGCTGCTTTAAGGAGATGTTACCTGCCTGTCATGCAATAGTTTTCATGTTCAGTTTTCTCCTACCTACCTTAATCACAAGTTAGGAATAATGGGCAGCATTCTAAAACATTGCTCTACTAACTGACCTCATTACCATTTCTTCTTCTCTTCCACATAAGTCCAATTATCTACTTATGAGCTGAACATCTATTACAATCATTGTCCCAATTTAATTTGTTTATGTCATGATTTGAATTAACCTTCAAACAGGCCATGATATATTCTTGCTTTCTAGTTTATAATTACATAAACACTCAATCCACTGTTGAGAACTTGACTCACAGAGTCACTCCAGAGGAGAAAGAAGGGCCTGGATCCCTGATGACATTTGTGGAGCTATCATGCCTGAACCAATTACCTGTAGATTTCTTTTGTATAATATTAAAATAAGCAGGATAGGATTTACTCTGTTTCAGGTTGCTATTGCTAGCAGTCAAAAACAACCTGTAACTCATATGCTTATTCACAGGGACATTTCTGCCAACATCTGAATGAATAGCAGTCTCAGTCCAAGTGTAAGAGAACACCTAATGCTAGCTTCCTCTTTGCTGCTATTTCCCTAACGTGTGTTTTGAAATTTCATTCTTAAAATGTTTGTACTAATGACTTGATAATTGCTTATGACTTTTCAATAAAGTGTGAAGTGCTCACACAGCAAATTTACAAATGTCAAGTACAATGAGAATTATTGCCCTTTCTTCCTTAACATGTAATTCTATATGGGGAGGTTTTTATAAGCTAAAGCAATACAAAACGTATGGAAGAACTAATGACTGGCCTTCCAAAAAGGTCATAAGACATAACAAGTTCTGTAGCAAAATCTCAATGACTCAGTGTACCCAAATCTCTTTCAATAATGGTAGCCAGCAAGAGCAAGCAGACTATGATTTCTCCAAGTCCTTTTAGGAGCTCTGCTCTGGTCTGATTCTAAGCAGTTTGACTTCTATACTCTCAATAAACGAAGAAGGCAGGAGAAGGTGAAAAGGAAAAACAAAATACCTGAGCCTACTTTCCAAAATTCTTTCTGTGGGAGAAACACTATCATTATCATCTAATGTGTATTTTCCACTTTAACCTCAGGTCAACCTCAATAGACGGATGCCAAACATACTTGCCATAACAAAATTGAGAAGATATTCAAGACACTACCTTGAGTATATTTTTTAGGAACTGAAGTCAACTAATAAAACCTCAAGAATATCTTTTTTCCCTTAATTTCTAGAAAGTCAGTCAAAATATTACGAATAATTTAATCAACACTACAATTAGCAATAGAAGTCATTGATCAATTATTTTATGTTGATTTTATGTGCTGTGTACACTTTTCTTATATAGGAGTAGTTATAACAAAAATATTCACTTTTTAAATCTATATTTTAGGAAAACAGTATTTTTAAATTTTTAAATATTTTCAAAGCATACCATTGTTAATAGAAAAAATATCTAGAAGAAATACAGTCTAAACAGTAGTTGGAAGGAAGGAAGGAAGGAAGGAAGGAAGGAAGGAAGGAAGGAAGGAAGGAAGGAAGGAAGGAAGGAAGGAAGGAAGGAAACTATTTCCCCAACAAAGGAATTCCTCTGCACTGATCCTAATGAATGAATGGTCATACAAACCCTGACACAGTGCTAGCACACTCACTATCACAAAAGGTAGGGGTTTTTTCCGCATTATTAGGAAGCATTGTTTACAAAGTCCTATGCCATTTTGCGACAACACCTGGACTCGCTGTTTCTAATTCTTTAATACAGAAATAACTGAGCTTCTCCTCCCTCAACCTGACAGCCCTCCAACAAGTTAAAGATGGTTTTGGCATCAACACCCAAGCCATTCCTTCTCATTCCCAATTGCTTATATTTATATTATCCATATGTGACAAGGTTTCCAGGTTCTTTTCCTTCCTGGTTAAGCCTTTCAGTTTTTTCTTTTTTTCTCAATGTCCTACTTTAAAAAAAAAAGTATCCAAGAACAACTGGATATGAAGTAGGATGAGATTAAACTGATATACAATGAAGTAGAACTCTTTATCTACTTGGATTGTAACTATGAATTTATTTGATGGCAAATCTTTGGTCAAGATAACCCCAATCACCACACTGTATTTAGGAGAAAATAGGACCAGCTTTACACAGAAGTAATAACATTTTATTATATACTCTTTGCAGAAATGCACTGCAATAAAAAGTTGGGGCGGCTAGGACTCTGTCAACAGATTTCCTGAAAAAATGCTTTGAAATTTGGCAATGTCTTGCTATAGCAATACTCAGAGGGAGTATCACTGTTAATGTGGTCTGATATGCACTAACAACTTCATCAAAAGTTATAATCTTATGACACAAAATGTAAAAAGATTTTTTAAGATGATTTTTCTATAATTACATTACCTGGTACCATAATCCACAACCACCCAATCTTTTGCAGTTCCTGTGATAGCATCATGATGTTGAAACAGTCCCAAATTCCTTCTGGCTTCTGTCAGTGCCGTGTAAAGTGATGTTGAAAGAAATGTATTTATCTTGTATTTCTGAGCTTGTCTCAGGGCGAAATAGTAAAGAATTTCAGCTGCCCTAATTGCATAAAACAGCCATTGATTTTTATTTCAAAACAAACATTTTAGCTTATAATCTAAAATATGTGACACTGATACTTTTTAAGTGTATTTTTTTAAGATTTATAATTTCAGTACAAACAAGTTATGAAAAAGATACTAATAATAAACATTTACATAAAACCACAAAATATCCTTATAACATATTTAAATTCTCAATCATCAAAGAACTTCATATCTACACTGATTAGGGTCCTTGTTCTAGATGATCCTGGAAAGAAGCCAGCACCCGATGGCAGCAAGATCAGTATATTTCTGTATAACACAGCGAAAAAATATCTGAACACAGTAGTAAGAATTTGATATGTCTCTGTCCTTTCTTCTCTACCACAGCAGCTTAGACATAGACCATGAACATTGCCAGAAGGCAATTTACTCTCATGTGTAACATTAAGAGGAGAAATGGTAGAGAAATGCCATGTGAGTGAACACTCAGAAGAGAGGAAAGGAAGAAAATGATGGCCCAATAACAACTTAGGGGCAAGGGCTAGTTTCAGTTTTCAATGACAGCATACAACAAATACAGAGAATTTAACAATGTAAACTGAGAAACCATAACTAGGATGTCATTTCTCATGTCTTTTAAAGAAAAAACCTTTAGGCTAAGAATAGCATTTAAGCAAAAAAGTATATGTGGGGCTATGATTTTCATCTTTTATTTTTTTCATCTGGGGACATGGTTCAAGATAGGTTTCTAAAAATGTTCTTTAAAAGGAGTCATGATTTGATGAATTACAAAGAACAATTAGGTTCTATACATCAAACACATTAAGGACAATAGAAAGAAAAAACAAGGCAGTTTGAAAACGTATCAGGAATCAGGAAAAAAGATATACAGGAAGTGCTTTCCTGCTTTTAAAAAAATGATGAATTCCTCTAAACTATAAAAATAATCAAAGGATAGCTAGCAAAAAATCTTCACTTTTAAATTCTAACTCTTAGTCAGGCTCGGTGGCTCAGCCTGTAATCCCGCGCCTTTGGGAGGCTGAGGTGAGTGGATTGCCTGAACCCTCGAGTTCGAGACCCGCCTGGGCAGCGAGACCTCATCTCTACAATAAATCAAAAAATCAGCCGGGCATGGTGGCACATGCCTGTAATTCCGGCTACTGGGAAGGCTGAGGCGGAAGGATCGCCAGAGCCCAACAGGTCGTGGCTGCGGTGGCTGGGAGCGGCCACTGCACTCCAGTCTGGGCGACAGAGTGAGACTCCAACTTAAAAAAAAAAAAAAAAAATTCTAACTCTTTCAAAATCATGAAATGAGAATCACTAAGCTTGAATTAACTAAATTATATATATATGTATGTTTACATACATCCATGGTAAATATTCCTGGTTTTGAAAGGAGTACATATCCATATACAGATCTCTCAAAATGTTAAAAAGTGAATTTTGTAAATATTGTCTTCTTTATGCTCTTCCATCTTATCCATATTTTACAAATAAGCATAAGAACGAAATATTACTATTTTCAGACAATGAACTTATTTTCAAATAAATTAATACATTTATAAATTCACAACTACTGCATAGTGTTTTGGTTTGTTTTAAAGTAACAGAATTTTCTAAATATATTACTAGCAGTAAGCATTATGACTCATATATGTATAATAAATTAGTATTAAACCAATATACATAATTCTTTGCTTCTAAAATTTACTTGACACTTAAAAACTCACTCACTCAGTGGCCTAAAATAATCTCTTCATTATTTAGAATATACTCCATTTTATCATGGAAAGTTTAGGATAATGTAACAGATAACTGGTTAACAGTCTATTGTGTAAGTATAGACATGATAACATATAAACATTATTTTTATTATAAGTGTAATAAGATATACTCCATCAACTCAAGCATTTCATATTTCTTTGTATTAAGCACATACCAATTCCACTCTTTTGGTTATTTTGAAATATATAATAAATGATGGATATCCAAATTATGCTAATTTGATTATCAAAGACTGCATGCTTCTGTCAAAATATCACACTCATCCCATAAATATGTGCCACTAATATGTAATCATAATTAAAATTTTTTAAAAAATTAAATAAGACACATTTTTCTGGTATATCCCAAATAACAATCAAAGGTTAAGCTTTTGAAATAATGAGAACAGCAGCACAACAGTAAAAAACAATAAAAACATACATTGTACTCAAGCACAACTCTTGAGAAAATTCATTATTTTTATTAAAAGCCTTTTCAACATGTAGTTTCCACTAATATATAAAAGAGGGAAGATACTATCTTCCTTTTTTAATACCAAGATTAATCATGAAAACAAATTACTCTACTGGGCTACACAGAGAAAGCCTAGGGAGACTCTGGGGTAGTTTATCTTTACCAGAAAATAATCAGACTCAATTATTTTGTACTATGTTCTCAAATATGGTAGCCATTAGCCATGCATGGCTATTGACACTTAAATTCATTAAGATTAGGTGAAATTAAGAATTCCGCCCCTCAGTCACACTGGTCATAATTGAAGTGCTCAATAATTATATGGGTTAAATGACTACCATACAGTCAGTGCAGAAATAGAGCCATTGCTGTAGAAAGTTCTGTTGGACAGTGATTGAAAGTTCTACTGGCTAGTGTAGATTTAGTGTTATGTTTTCTACTGACTTTTCTGCCTTCCCTGTGTCCATCTATTTTTTTCAACAAATCAGTGTCTGTCCCATCAGTTCTTATTTTTTAAAATTTTGTCCTTCTAAGCCAAAAATCATATCTGTAGAAATGTGTTTCAAATAAGTAAATGAGAACTGAAATGGAACCTCCAAAATTCTCTCACATATGAAATACATTAGGTTTAGATTGTGGCACTTTGAAGTCCACATTTTGGCTGCTGAAAGGCTCTATTTGCTTATTTGAGGCTCACCTATGTTTTCAATGATTCAGCCCATCAGATTACTGGCCTGTAGATTCTCATGGCATGATGGTGTCACTGAATATTAATATGATATGCAAATAACACAGATAAATTAATTAGAAGAATATAAAATGCACAACACAACTCCTAGAAAATTTAATTAGATAAACTATTTTTCCTTTCAGAACAAAAGCCCATGTAATAATCTGATTATACTTTGGAGATATATTTATGATTGCATTAAAATTTCACAATTACATTAAGCACATCAAGACTTCATAATGATGTATATTAGGGAAAGTTCTACAAAACGCTATGAAAACATAAAGGAAGTGGATAAATAAATGTAGCTATCTAAAGGAAAATGTACCTTAAATGAGATTCCATGATTCTATCCATTCGTTTGTAAAAGGGTCTGGATGTGAAGTAGCCACTCCAATAATGATCATCTCGATCAGCATAAGTGAAAAAATCTCCACTTAGAACAGGGAACATGGATTGGCTCTTCTCTTTCTCAGTTGCATCTGCTTCATCTAGTGCATCAAAATAATCTGATAAAGTTCCGAATTGTATCTAGCAAAAAAAAAAAAAAAAAAAAAAAAGTCATACTTCAATTATTCATCTCTACCTTAAAATTATTTACTTCTTACACTGGACAGAAAAGTTAACAATAAATATTTAAGATGTGCTTTCAAGTTAACATGAACATATAGCTCAGATCTTACAAAAATCAGAAGCAGGGAAAAAAATATCAGCAACTCTGTCTTTTACTTGCATCAAGCCCCAAATTAAGCTAAGTGCAAGCTTGTACACCTAAGCAGTTAGAAGTACAGCTACTTAGATGTACACATTTGTGGATATGAAAGGTCGTTTCATATCTCAAGAATATGGGCATGGAGTAAGTTAGATGAACAAAAGATGAGGGCAGCAGCAAAAATAAAAGACACATATTTTAAGCACAATGTTCCTGAAGTCTGGAAGAACACTGGTTTGTTAACCATAAAGTATTTTAATATGTCCTCCCCTCCATTTAAGTTCTTGTAACAGAGAAGGAAGAGACTTTAAGAATAACAGGTCATTAAAAATACCAGACTTTCTCGACCAGCAGGTAACACTGAGTAGATACATCTACTCAGCAAAGAGTAACAAAATAACAAGGTTGACTGCTCAAATGCACAAGTCTTTATGACTAAAAATTTAAATTAGCAGTACAGAAACCCATTTTTGTGTCCAAACTATCTATATATCAAAAGAAAAAAGAAACATTAACCAGATATTGTAAACAGATGTAAAAGAGCAGTCTTCTTAAAAATAGATTATTCATCAGAGAAGGTGTTCATTTTAATAGAAAAATGCTGATTTTTTTGTTTCCTATCACACACACACACTCACACACACACACACACACACACACACACACAAATATTGCAAGTCATTTTGATTCAATGCAGCAATGGCATAGATTCGAATCCTATCTCTACTACCACTTATCTAACATGGTTTTGAGCATATTACATAAAGTTTCTGCCAGTCCCTGTGTTACAACTAAGTAAAAAGCTTAGGGCCATGATTGGCAAATAATGGTTTAAGCTTCAGCTATTACTTCTCCATTTCAAAAACAAAATTTCAACTAAAAACATTTTACAATGATATTAATAAGGCAAATATTACAAGTTATTGTAATCTAGCTGTGCTGCAATAATTTTTATAGCAAAATAGATTAATATTTCTAAATTCCTTCTGTTTATATTAAAGATAAACAATTTTATTTACTCTTATCTTGATTTCACCAAATACTGTGTAATCTTGGGCAAATTAACCTATTTGTGCTTCAATTTCTTCCTCTATAATAGGAACAATCATAGTACCTACCAGAAAAATGTTGTATAATTAAAAAGTTAAATAAAACACTTTAAACAGTTAATGACAAATATTAAGCACTCTATATTTTCATTAACATTACAAGTATTATTACTCAATCAGCAGCATTACTAGGAGGCAGAATATACGTGTACGTGTGTGTGTGTAAGTAACTATTCAAGAAATGAGGGTCACAAATAGAAGGAAATATGGCATTAACTTCATATCCAGCAGGTATAGATGAGCTCAGAGAAGTACACAAAATAACAATGACAAAATCTTCAATGATGAAATTTTTCTAAGACTTACTGTCCTTACCTACATAATAAAGAATCTTATTTAGACAACAAAAATCCCTTTGAACTTCAAAATTTAGGAATCTTTGGCATGCTACAAATTTAATATTAGCAGCAGAGTATACCTTTTACAAATATTTAAATTAGGGGCATACTTCATCAACAATAGTACCTGCATAATCAACGTTTGTATACCTACCCTAAATTGCACCCCACATTTTTATAATAAAAACAATTTTAAAAAATAAGAAAAAACAAAAACAAAAAAATATGTAAATTAATTTTTGGTATAAGCAATAAAATAATACTTTCTTCTTGGCAATCTCCCAATGCAAAATTTAGATAACTGATCTAGTAGGCTTTCTCACAAACTTAATTCAATCTTTAAGGACTAAAAATAATCCTCTTTCTATGCTAGAGTAGTTTCAAAAGAAATCATGTAATTTTTTTCTAGACCATTTCTTGCTAGCTCATATAAAGTAAATATTTGAAACACCTAATAAACATAACCAAATAAAAACATTTAACTGGATTTCACATTAAACAGCAACAAATTCAATCTTAAACATAAGAAAACTCTATCAGGACAACATATAGGAGAAATTAGATAAGTTGTTAAACAAGTGATGATCATTGGCAAACTGACCATTTTGGCTAATCCAATGTCAATTTTGCAGCCGTCTGAACACAATTATTTCCTTTTGTGCTCTCTTTCATTGAAAGAAAACTATAAATCCATACTTCCACTTTAGACAAAGTAATTTTAACTGTCCTACAGAGAACACATACAACTAGGTAAATTATACAGAGAAAAAAAATTGAAAATATCAAAGAACAAGAAAAGCAGCCAGGGCTTAAAAAACAAAAATTATAGAGAAAAAAGAAACACACATCAAGGTGAACCCTATGCTCTACCAAATATTCATCTTGGGGTACTGGTATATTCACTGTACAAGATATACAGATGTAACAGAAATCAGTGTCCTAGAAGAAGGAACTGATAAAGAATTTAAAAACACTCTGCAAATGAATATAAGTAAAATTCCTTTAACTGATAAAGGGAATCAACACAATCCTAAAGCAAACATCATAACTGATGATGAAACACAATGTTTTCTCCCTTAGAAAAATATGACAATTCTGTTTCTATTCAACACTATAAAGAAGGACATAGTCATTACTCAAACAAGAAAACAGATTGAAAAGTAAAAAGGAAAATTTAAATATGCCATTTTTCATATATAGAAAATCCAAAAAGAATCCACAAATAAATAAGATAAACAAAGTTACTGGATACAAGGCTAAAATGCAAATGTCAACTGTCTTATAATACAAAGAATAGAGCATGTTCATGAATTAGATGGCCCAATATTTGTAAAGAAGTTAACTGCACTCAGAACCACAGTTTCAATGCAATTCCAAGCAAAATTTCCCTAACTTTTTTGGGGGGATATAAATTTATAAGTTGATCTAAACCTAAACAGAACTACAAAGGACTAACAATGCAATCTTAATAAAGAGAAAAAATTAGAAACATATATACTATTGAATATTAAAACCTATTATAAAGCTATAGTAGTTAAGACAGTGTGACAATCAAACAGACCAATAAAACTGAAAAGAGTCTAGACACATACAGAGCAACACAAAGACAATGTAACGCAGTGGGAAACTAAGGTCTTTTCAATAAATGGTGCTAGATATCCAAATAAACCAAAATGTTTCTTGATTGCTACCTTCACACAATTCACAGCAATTCATTTCAGATAGATTATTTGACCCAAATGTTAAAGGCTAAACAATAATGTTTCTAGATGTTAGTTTCATAAGGAATGTATTTTCAAGACCATGGAGTGAATAAATATTTCTTAAACAGAACATAACAAGTACTAACCATAAAGAAAACTAATATTATATTATATTTAATTAAAATTAAGAATTTCTGTTCATGGGAAGACAGCATGAGAAAGTGAAAATGTAGGCTACATAGTGGGAGACAACATTTGCATAACTTTTATCTGAAGAAAGACTCAATCCAAAATATATAAAAGAGCTATAAACAGTAAGAAAAAGACAGAGGACCCAATTTAATTAAAAAATCATCAAACTACTTATATAGGCACTTTACAAAAGAGGATACCCAAATGGCAATAAACTTGTGAAAAGAGGCTCAACCTCATTAACCACCAGAGAAATACAAAATAAAACCACTCCATCTATCAAAAGGATAAAAATGAAAAAACAAAAACAAATCCTGACAATACAGAGTGAGTAAGGGTATGAAACAACTGCCATACAACACAACAACTGATGCATCTATTTTGGAATACTGTTTGGCAGCATATGCTAAAGTTGAACATGTGCATAGCCAACGTCTAAAAAATCCCATCCTAGCCAGGCTCAGTGGCTCAGCCTGTAATACCGCGTTTTTGGGAGGCTGAGGTTAGTGGATTGCCTGAGCCCGCGGGTTCGAGACCTGCCTGGGCAACTTGGTCTCGCCAAGTTGTCATTTAATATAGATCTAATATAAGTAAGTAAATAAATAAGTAAGTAAGTAAATAAATAAATAAGGGGTTCCTTAGTCGAACATTAGAAAACATCTTGCTGGCAAGAGACGTTTGATATAAGGGTAGTTAGTAGAAATGGGATATGACTTACATACGGATAAACAATGTTATCGTCATTCTAATTTGACTTAGACTAACATATCCTTCAAGTAAATTCTTTCTCTCTCAATATTTCTTTTTCCTGAGCACATTTTCAACCTTGGCAAAATAAACCTCTAATTGAGATCTGCCAAAGTCATATTTTGGTTTACAATACTACAGATACTATACAACACTAAAAAAGGAATGAATTACTGCTACTATGAAACAATGTAATGAATCTCACAAACATAATATGAAACAAAAAAAGCCAGACACAAAAAAGTACACACTTCTGATTCTCTCCATATAAAATCCAAGAACGAGTAACATGGTGAAGAAGTGAAAGAAGTGGGTACTTTTGCAGGAGTTGCTGAGACTGGGAGGAAACCTGAGGAACTGTTTCAGGATGCTACTAAAGCTCTAAACCTTAATCTGGATGGTGGTTACATAAGGGCTTTTAAACCTCAAAAATTCCATGTATACTTATGGCTTGTGAACTTCACCTATATATGTGGTATTTCAATTTTTAAAACTACTTTTCAAAAATTGTCACAGCAGGCAAGGGAGAACACAGGTAAAATACAAAAATCAGAATCTAATTTTTCAGAGTCAGACAGAGGACCAGGCTCCTCTATGGATTCCAAAACCATTCCCCAGTAAGATGTATTCCAGGGTAAAATACCCACATACATACCCCCTCATCTGATCAAATATTCATGTGTGAGCTTTATCTTTAAGGAAAATACAGGGGTAATTTAAACATAGTCCCTATGCTCAGATTCATAATCTGGTAAAAATTCAGTTGTAAATATCTTGAATAAACTCGATATTTTATTTGTTTATCTATTTGATATTAAGTGTATTTAATACAACTGAATTCTTACATACAAACTGTAATTCATCATCAGCTTCCTAATTTTCTACACAGTAACATCACCTCCTTTCTATAGTACTTTTCACATATACTGTCTTATAGATTAATGTGTGAAATAATAAACATGTTAAATCATTCATTTTTTATATAGGGTCACTAAGACATTTTTTAAAGACTTGATTCATATTTTATTTTTTACTTCAAAGATGTGACGTACAATTCAGGGTTAGGTATACAAGTGTTCATTATTTGTACCCTTGTTGATGAGGTGTGCCCCCCACCCCCGGCAGTTTCCCACTACTGCCAATCCCACCCCCACACCCCTGGCAGTTTCCCACTATTGCCAATTCCTTTCTTCTAGTATTATGATAACTGTTCAAGGTCCACTTATGAGTGAGAACATGTGGTACTCAGTTCTTTGCTTCTGTGATAGATCACTTAGTATTACAGACTCTAAGTTTTAAAAAGACTTTTTTTTTTTAAGTCGGAGTCCCACTCTGTCACCCAGGCTATAGTGCAGTGGCATGCTCACGGCCACCCTAGCATTGACTTGTTGGGCTCTGGCAATGCATCCACCTCAGCCTTCCAAGTAGCTGGAACTACAGGCATGCGCTACCATGCTTGGGTAATTTTTTGGATTTAATGTAGAGATGAGGTCTCACCAAGTTGCCTGGGCTGGTCTGGAACCCACAGCCTCAGGCAATCCACTCACCCCAGCCTCCCAAAGTGCTGGGATTACAGGCTGAGCCACCAAGCCCCGCCAGTTTTAAAAAGACTTTAAAGACTTGTCCCAATACAAAGAAATGATAAATACTTAGGTGATGAATATCCTAAATACCTTGATTTGATCATTACATATTGTCTGCAAATATCAAATTATTACAGGTACCCCATACATATAATTACATAGCAATTAAAGAATCCATTAAAAAAGACTTATTGACAAAATGCAATATATGATTCTTGTTTGAATCTTGACTCAAACAATGCATTTGAGTTTTTTAAAATGGTGTTTTATGAGATCAGGAAAACTTGAACATCATATATTAGGATATATGACACTATCAAGTTGTTAATTTTTTAGAAGTGATAATGACACCGTGATTATATTTTTAAACAAAATCCTTATTATAGTTACAGACAAAACTATATGCCATCTGAGATTTGCTCCAATATCATCCCAGGGTTAGGGGATGAGACAGCAGTGGCGTACAGTTGAAACAAGAGGAGTCTTTAGCTGATGAATGTTTAAGCTGAGCCATGGATATGGGTAGAAGGGGGGCAATTTTTGCTGTTCTCAAAAATTAGGATACATTTTAAATTTTCTATAAAAACAAAAAAGAGTAAGAACCATAAGCAAATGATTAATTTTAGAAGTCTTCTCATAAAAAAACGCTAGCGTTATTCTCTGGACATAAGACATTTGTTTGCAAACTTCATGACGTGTTTATCTGCATCTGCCAGTCACACTACTAAATCACATGGGTGCAATTGTCAGAGGGAAACAATAAACTTTCAGTGCTGACAGAAAAACAAGACATCCTCAAAAACTAAAAAACTAAATATCGCAACTTAGTAGGTATATATTTTTAACCACATAAAAGTAATTCCTCTTTAATCCTCCAGGAGTGGTAGAAAAGGGAGAACGATAGACATGGAACTACGTTATATAATAATTTTCTTCTTATAAATTATATTTTTACACAAGAATTATATATCCTAAGAAATACTGGGATGCTGCAGGACAAAGAAACTAAGGATCTGTGTTGTAGCCTGATTTAATTTAATTTGGAAAATGGTGAATTAGGGCATCCTTTAATAATGAAGGCTTAACTTCAAATACAGTAACATCAATAAATATTTTCTCATTACCTTTACTTTAAACTTAGGTTGAGAATTCATATAATCAAAAAGCTGCTGATAATTCTTGAACTGTAAATCCCATTCTGTGTATTCACAGTATCGGAAGTCATCACCCAGTGGGGCCAGAAGAACTTTCGTACGAAAAAGCTTTGACTTCTTTCGGTACTGATCTAGAAGCATTTGAGCCCTACAAAAGAAAAAGGGAAAATATGAATTAGATTAAGAAAAGGCCAATGGGGTAATGCATTAAAAAGGACATAACTAAATTTTAAAAGTGTATTATGTTAAACAAAATTCTTATATATTTTACCTATATTCTAGGTTGGTATGATTTAAAGACAGATTTTTTTTAAACTCATCACACTAATTTTTATTGTCTACTTAAAATATTCATAAATTCTTACCAGTCAGTATCCACATATTTCCAATGGATTGTCTTTAGAGAAATATGTTCACAAACCAACTTTGGAATATGATTGCTGGGCACCAATGCATTCCTGAAGCCCAACCACAAAGACTGGACCCCAGAGACTACATGTATTGAAATAATTTAGTCTACCTATATACGTTTGAAGTTTGCCTTGCCTTAATACTCCTTTCTCTCATCTATTCTAAAATTCTCATGAAACATAAAAAAGTATATTTTGAGTAAAACCAAAAAGAATGAATGAATCTTAAACTACAACATTTTATAGAGCCACATTTCCTCTTCTAAAGGAAAAAAATCTACTCACTCAACACCTGACACCAATAATCTGAGTATTTGTCACAGTGTCCTTTTCAATACTGATCACCAGAAAATGTTTAGGAGTTGAATTAGCTACTTTGTTTTCTACTGCTCTGAGCTCTAACCAAGGACTTAAAAGGTCCTTAAAAGGTCAGCTAGACATAATGTGCTGCTGTGATGGAACAACTTTTATATTTCATATTCTAATATCCTGCAGAATATTCTTTGGAAAATGGTGAATTAGGGCATCCTTTAAGGAAGTATGGGAAGTATCCTAAGAGAAAGGGCTTGTGAAATGAAATTAAACAAGGAGATGAACCCAGAGTAATACACAGTATTTATAAAGTCAAAGCTTAAGAAATCGGTGATTAAATAACAAGTTTTTTTTTTAACTTAGTATTCCAATTTTCACATCAAGAATTATCCAAAAGTAAATTCTAATTCACAATATAAAAACTTCTGAAAGCATCTCAAAGAACATCAATGACAAAAAAGGGGCATTTCATAAAAATTATGAAAAAACATTTAAATTTAGAATCTCATATGGTCTTTTTGACATTTATAGTCTCTGAAATTGCTTTGCAGATATTAAAATTTTAGCAATAATTTAATACCTTGGTGAGTAAAATATGGCCATAGTGTTCTTATATAACACATAATGCTTAGTTTTCTGAGATTAATCTCTACTGGTAATTTACTAACAATCTACATATACCAAAAACAATTTTAGATTATTACTTGCAATAATAAACACATCAACAATGAAATTAACCACACAGTGACAGAAACCAGACCCCGCCAAAAACAAGTAAAAAAATCAAATATAGAAATCACAGATACAAGATACAAGATATGCTATCGAGCATCCAACTAGATTTCCCAGGCAGCCAGCATAAAAAAGGGTTCACTACTAGACATACTATAACTTGTGTGTACATGTATAAAGCACATATAGAGAAAAGAAATTATAAACACCAATGGCATGCCTTATACACTTGACATCTACTTAACTCTCAAGAGTGCACAGAAAGTGTCAAGACTGGAAAAACTAGGTAATTAACCTATACACCAGGCATGTAATAGATACTTACTAAATGGATGGTGAACTAGTGACAGATCAACTGACCAACATCATATCTGAAGACATAAAGACACAATTTGCTTTTGACTTACTCTACCAGGTAAGAAAGGTCAACTTAAAGAAAAATCTAAACATCAAATCATTTGACACTCAATGAAAAAAGCCAACTTAAAATATACAGTACTTGATCAAAAACAAACTTGATGAAAACAATTATTTCTTTATTTGCAAAATACAAGAACCTGCTAAACTGGAACTGTCAAAAAAAAAGACTATCTATATGTTATATTTAAATCTTATTTTCTTTAGGCTATTAAAAGGATGAAAGGTGCCACTGAACTGAAATGCCTATGTTTAATTTCCATTTATCTCTAAGTCTAAAAGAAGGAGACATCTGGATATGAAGTAATCAGTAGAGTTAACATTTCAAGACTTGTAAGAAACTAAACAATATATATCTATGAAAGGATTATACAGACTCATTCATCCATATATCCCAGGTGCCTGAAAACCACTTTCTAAATCACTGGAACTGACTGAACACAAGGTATGATCCTGAGGGGCAATCAATGGACGTTTAGATGAGATGGCAAAAGGGTTACACAAAATGCCTTTTTTCCAAAAATGCACCCACCTCAAACAGGTAGTCTCAGCAGCACCCATAAAAAGAGTAGAGGGGCCCACAATACTTATGTATGCACTGGGACCCTCAACAGAAACATCTGGCTAACCTTAAGGAAGTTCTCCATCCCGGACCACCTGAGCTGAGTGTAGTGTAAATACCTGTAAATACAAAAAGCTACTTGCCCATGTAGACAGGTAAGTGTATCCCCGCCACTCCCTTTCCTTTTCAGTATACCTTCTGCTGTATTATATACTGGTTTATTATCTTATGCTTACCTAGCCCAACCATAGCTAGAAAGTTCCTAGTTCCTCATTGGAACTACTGGAACTGTTCATAGTTCCTCATTGGTTCTCACTGCTGTAGGTATCAAGAAAATGGAACCAGGCTGATTCCAAACCTTGGAACATTTTTCAAACAACTATGAAAGTAAGATTTTGATCAAAGGACTCCATGGCTTTAAGAAAGGCTGCCAGGCTAACACCATTTTTCAAAACAACTATGAAAGACAGATTTTGACCGAAGGGCTCCATGGCTACAAGAAGGCTGCCATGCTAACTCACTTTCATGTATGCCACAGTCAGAGGTTCACACTGGAATATCTTCTTTATGATTACAAGAACTTATTCAAGGTAGAAACACCCAATCTTACCTTCTCCCGCACACACATTTTTAAAAACGAATTTCTTTTTTAAAATAAATAGATTTAATATTGCAAAAATCTTTATTTATTTAAAAGACTATATTATTTTTCTAGCAGAGTTTAGTGTTTTTATATTAAAACGCAATGTTTTGTTTTAACACATTATACACCACCAATTTTTAAGTTAAGAAATTCAATTTTAAAAGCACCAATATTAGAAACTATAGGTAACTTGGTTTAATGGGATGCTCCCATCATTATCACAATTTTCTTCTAAAGAAATTATTAATGCCTTTGTTTTTTTATTTAAATGTATTTAAGTATAAATATTCCTAATTAAAGTTTTCTGTAAGTCAAAAACATCAGAACGATGCAAAGACGTGTATTCAACAGAGTTGGGCAGCATCCACTATTATTGAAATTGTTATTAAGGGAATAGATGATTATATTCTTTATGTGTTCTATTTCAATAAATGTGCTTTTGCAGTTGAGTAGCTTTTCTTACCGATTTATACAATAGGGACCAGAAGTTTTATTATCAACAAAAGTATATCAAATCAATCAAACACAGTAGAAAGCTTTTATAATGAAGTCAAAAGAGATGGTAATAATAGTGTATTATAGATTATCCATTGTATATTGATCTACTATTGTTCACTTTCCATTAAACTGTAACACATAAGAGGTACAGTCAAGGCTCTGGCATTTTTAAGTTGCTTTAGATCTGATTTGAATGAATACCTTAAAAAAGGATAATGTTGGCTGCTGAAGCCCATTTGTTCAACCCTTCAGCAACTAGCAGCAGAATATAACTACTTAATTCAAGATGGTGTCTTATGAAACACGTTATTTTCATACCTGCTTTGGACATTTCCAGGATGTATTGTTTCTGGGGGGACTCCCCAGGGACAACCAAATCTGCCTCCAGGAAGCCGTTTAAAATCAAACTGGCAGCATATTTTAGGATCAGGTCCGCAAGTGTGAGGGATGTCATAGCTGTAGAAGGGCATCATGTGGCATAAAATATCTGTGACAGATCCCAGATCTAAAATAAAAAGCCAACACACAAACCTGCATTTGTAAAATTTGTTTTCCCAAAAACTATGCAAAATGCCATTGCTTTACACATATATAATGCAAGCTCTACCCTAAATCAACAGCTCCTTTAACTTCCCACGCATATACCCCAGCAACATTTAATGGGCACCAGTTTGAAGGAAGATAGTCATACATCTCAGTCTCTTTCTACCTCTTCTATCTAAACACAGCAGAGATAGAAAAGCCCCCTCATGAACCAGCACCTGCTGACCTGGAGAGACACAAACTGAGCAGAGGTAAAAGTTATAACTGGCTCATCCAAAGTCATGGCCATGTCCATCCCTGGCTGCCAGCTCCTGCCATATCTGTTCGATCTCAGGTAACAGGACACACTGAGAGAGACCTTACATCAGCTGTGGAGGGTGGGTGAGAAGAAGAGAGGAAGGGAGTAAAAAAAGAGAACTGGAAAAACAAAGGAAGAGGGGTGGGGCAGGGACTTATGAAAACACTGGAATAATTCCTACTCACTTCTTGAAGTGAGGAAAGGAAATGCAACACAGGAGAGGCCACAGAGCCTCTTCCCATGTTCACCAAGAGCAAGCCAGTGGAACTTTTCATCAAGAAAGGAGCACAGGAAAAGAAAAAGTAATTTCAAAAGTAAAGATAAAACAGAACAAACAAAAGAAACATGGAAAATGAGCACTAACTCCTGAGGCAGTATTGATACCAATACCTTGGTGAGGTCAGAAGCCTACCACAAAGTGAGCTTAAGGGACTTAACCAGTAGTGGCAAGTGGTTATCTTTGTAAGATCCTCAGCTTTAATTACTTCCCCCGCTTTATGTATGGACTGCCCATTTTCAGCAGTAGGTATGTATTGCTTTTATAATTTGGGGAAAAAAAGAAAAAGGAACAATTCATTTTTAAGAAATGAAAATAACTGCTTCATTAAGAACCAGAACACACAAACAGGCTCAACTTAATTCAGAAACCTCTTTTCAAAAGCAACTTGTTCAAATTTTTTGGGTAAGTGCTAAAATATTCCACTTTTATCCATTTAGTTAAAATAATTATCAGTTATTTTCCAAATTTAAAACTATTAAAATCTATATATTTCTGTGATGTCAACTGTTTCACTGATCACATTCACAAGTGTGACACCATGGATACTGGTCACTAATGCTTGCTATGAGCATATTATATTGGCTGTCACAAGTCCCAGAACTGATGACAACTTCCTCCTGCCTTCTTTTATGGATAAGAATGTACTCAACACCTCATTAATTCTCTTTGAACCCTGCTATCTTTCAGCTCATTTACATGTTTAATTTTATCTGCTGCATTTGGTTGTATCTAAATTTTATCAAATTAGACTGGAATTTCCTTATAAGCAAGGATGTTTTCTATATTTCTTCCTAGCACAGAATTAAATATATAAAAGTACTCAATAATTTCTTACTAAGTGATACTTAGAGGCAATATGAATATAGACAATCGTTTAAGAAGGGCTTGTTCAAATTAACAATCCTTTGTTTTCCAAGTTAATAGGGTCCTTCGCATTTGATCAAAGTACACAGGACACAGCCCCCTACAAGTTCTTGTTCTCCCTACGGGCTTAATTTTCTAGAATTAAAAAGTTGTATAGCTAATTGCTTTCCTTATGGGAAAAACAGCAGTATACATAAGAAAGTTACTGTCTGGATTTACAAATGATTTTTCTGAAATATTTAAGGGGTCTATAGGAAAGCAAGTATAACATAATGCAGTACTTCCCAAATTGTTTTAACAATGAAATACTTCTTTCAGATGAAGTCTTACTGAGAATACAGTGCCAGGGGTTGGAAGCCTGGGCTTCGGGAACTACACAGAACTAACATGAAGCTTTGCTCTGTATCTATGACCTGTATGACTTTTGGATAAATGGTTTCACATAACTAAACCTCCATTTCTTTACTATAAAAAAATTATAACTTAATTTAAAGAATAAAGATTAAATAAGAGTGGATATAAAGCATTTAACATAACTCATGGCATATAATAAGGGCTCAATAAATAAAAATAACTATAAAATAAGGTATTCTAAATTAAATGGAGGTTGGAAAAGGCAAAGACCTCCCAAGGTGCCTGAATCATCTCTCCTCTCTCCTAACAAAGAGCGTAGAAGTATCTCTTTGGGATGCCTGGGTGCCCACAGAATACAGTGTGAAAACAGGTGATACGAGGGCTGTTCCAGGAGGACAGAAATAAGGCTTTAAAAGGCAAGTCTCACAAGATATAGAGACAAGAGAGACAGAAAGAAGTAAGAGTGGTTGAATATAAAGATAAATGACTGGATATCGGTTCTAACACATGTACAACTTTGTGATAAAACAGGTGCTTTCAAAAATAGAAGCAAGTGAAGCATTATTGGCAAAAATACTAGCTCCTTATATTTACCTTCTTTCTTTAGTAATAAAAAAGATTTTATAGATAAATATTGGCATTATTGTGTAAAAGAATCTTGACACAAATACGTTATAAAAATAAATGTAAAGGTGAATATCTTTAGGCAACCTGATTTTTCAAGACTGACAGTGAATAAAACCCTCAATGGCATGAGGTCATAACCCTTGTGAAATATCTAGGTCAAGTGGAAATTCGACTTTCATCAAATCCTACATACCCCAATTCTGTCTCCAAAAAAACTCCAATGTTTTATGCAATGAAAAGTGTTTTTTAATTGCATAATGAACTCTCTGGATAAGCATGTGTGAAAATCCAGCACGTTTTAGAAGATAAGCCATTGTTGGTGAATGTCCAAAAGGATCAATAGCCCAGCCAGATCGAGGTTTCACTCCTGTTGATAAAGAAGATAGTGTTATCTGTTTAAATTGATAAATGAAATAAAAAGAAGTCAAAATACATTCAGATGCATCAGAGTTCTACAGTGTTCTAGGATAATAAGACCAGGAATCCACCCTTTGCCAAGTATTCCCAGTAGGATTCCATGAAGAGAGGACTCTGCCACTGCTTGATCCACTCAGACAGGGGAATCCTCACTGAGATCAATCAGAGTGGCCTGAAGTAAACACTCTACCACCTTAGAGCTAGTATGAAGTCATTTCCATTCAATGGAGATAGACAACAAATAGGACTAAGATCCTACATGCATGGAACTCACACACCTGTCTTTGGGGAGTTGGAACTCATTCTTATAAACTCATTGTTTGTGAGAAAAGAAAGTAACCTAGCTCATCTCAACTTATATTTCCCAATCTCAACACTAATTTTTTTTTCTTTTTTTTGAGTTGGAGTCTCACTCTGTTGCCCAGACTGGAGTGCAGTGGCTGCTCCCAGCCACCGCAGCCTTGACCTGCTGGGCTCCAGCGATCCTTCCGCCTCAGCCTTCCAAGTAGCCAGAACTACAGGTGCGCGCTACCACACCCGGCTAATTTTTTTTTACTGCAGAGATGAGGTCTCACCAAGTTGCCCAGGCGGGTCTCGAACCCGCGAGCTCAGGCAATCCACTCACCTCAGCCTCCCAAAGCGCGGGATTACAGGCTGAGCCACCGAGCCCAGCTTAATTTTTTTTAAGTCTTTCTTTTACACCTTTCAAAAACCCCAAATCATCTTATTATACAGTGGCAGAAGTGGCCAAAATAACTCTTTCATATTTCATAAATCTTGAAGCATTATTATACTGGTACTTTCTGTCTACAAAGGAGGCCAATGGGATTTTTCACAGCTGGCTCACACCAATTATAAGAGCCATCAACTAAAGATATATCTCATTTTCAAAAAGGATAAAATGCAAAAGAATAAAAATAATAAATACACAGATTAGCACTAATAAGGCAAGATTATTCACTTAGCATTACACACATGTGATCTTTTAGTTATTCAGGATTCTGAAATAAGGTTTCTATTTACAGTCTATAAATTGACATAAATAATATGGCTATGTGCACCTTTTTCCATTTAAACACCTATCTAGCAGCCTTCCATATACCTAAGTCTATGAAAGACCCTAGGGTTACAAAAATGGGTTAATCCTGATCCTGACTCTAGTTGCAGAGACTATCATTCAAATAAATATAGCACAGAAGACAGCAGACAGAACTCTGTAGAATAATACTGAAGAAAAACAGAGACAGGAAACCAATAAGGGAGACTGAGAAGGAAAAATCAGGACCCAGAGAGGCCAAAATATGTAGCCAAGACTCAAAAAGAGTATCTGTCAAAACTCAAAGAACTGACCACATAAGATTTATGCATTTCACACATGTAATTTATCTCTAAAAATTATAAAGAAATATTGTACTCAATTTAGTAATTTTGGTTTCATAGTGGTATAGATTTAACAACTCTGAAACTAGCTTTTATATATTCCAAGACTGAGCAAGTGAGGACAAGGGAACCAGAATTTTCACTGTAACACAAGTAGCTACAAATATGGAAATATGGGAAACTGGAATGTACCTTATGATGTTGAATTGGAATGTGAGATACCAGCACTAACTTATGATTTTTTAAAATATAGGTATAAAAATATAGATATCTGTATGTGTATTCACAAACACACACAGACTCATTTCCCAACTCTGCAACAGACAGACCTAGATGCAATAACACCTCAGTAACAATGAGCACATCTTAGCTCTCAGATCTTGGCCTCTAAGTACTAATCATTTTTAAAAATAACCTGAAAGAAAAGATTTATTCTGGGGATGAGGCCAGGAAGGTACGTGATAAGCCTGGAATATATTCCTGGGTTACAAAGTAAAGAAATGGTCATGGGGACATATTTACAAACAAAAAAACGGTTGGGAAGTCTAAAGGGGCTTCCACTAGCCAAACCTGGGACAACTGGGTTATAAGAATAAATAATGATAGTACTGGATTATAATTCATTGGATATAACAATCCATGAACCCATACTGAAATAAGAAGACAGAAAATAAAATGAAATACTCTTCCTTTTAGTAGAATGCCAACTTAACAAGTATAGAAGGAATGGTGGAATTAGAGAAGCATCAGTGGATGGTAAATCTAAATCACAAAAGTTTGGAAGGAATAGAATGTTTACTTATTCTCAATGTACCTCCCAAAATTAGTTAAAAAGGGCAAAAACATAACAATATAGTGAAGAAACTTAGCAGACATACCTTAACCAATTGATCCTAGCATTACCAATATTAAGACAGAGAGACATTATAAGCCTCCTAATATGATGCACTGAGGACAACAGAACACCACTGCAGTAATATGGCAGCAAGACAGACAAAGAGAAAAAATACATAAGTAACCTGAATCCACTCATGAGGAAACAAAGTCAAATTGTGAGACTTTCTACAAGACTGGTCTGTATTCTTCAAAAGTCTAAAGGTCAAGAAGCCCAAAGAAAGGTTGATGAATGGTTCCAAATTAGAGAGAATAAAGAGACAAAACAACTAAATATAATATATGACCCTGTGTTGGAATAGGTGAGAAAAAGAATGCCTTTTATAAAAGACATTATTGAGACAATTGACAAAATTTAAATATAGACTTTGAACTAGATTGTCCTACTGTATCTATCACTGTTAACATTCCTGATTTGATAATCATGCTATGTTTATATATAAAAGTATCCTAATTTCTTAGGAAATATTCAGTAAAACATTAAGAGATAAGAAGAGATGGTGCCTCCAACTTACTCTCAAATAGTTCAGAAAAATATGCATGTGAATCTATGTACAAGATACATGAGAGTCCTTCCCAAGTACTATCATGCGATGTTTTATAAATTTGAAATTATATCAAATTAAGTTATGAAATAATAAAGGAGTATATGTTGCCCCAAATAACAAGGGCTTAGAATGCTTACAAACAAGATAAAAATCAACATCAAGTGCCACAGTGATGTAAGAGTTTAGTGTTCATTAAATTGAACAATTATGTCAGCACATGAAAATCACTTGATCCACAAAAGTAGCAACTTTGCAATGGAACAAAGAATCCCTGGGAGGGAATAATGCAGAAAGGAGAGAATGTAAACTATATTTATTCAAAGCTTTGGTATGAAAGGTGATGGGTAAGGAGCAACTTAGAAAGAAACCAAGTATCCTGCTAGGGTTTTCCCTGGCATCAGACAAATTTTTTTTTAAAAGAGGACAAGGGAAAATTTTAGGGAAATGTATAATATAAGAGAAATCTAAGAATTTATAGAGAGGGCACGTGTCAATAAAACGAGAAAAGATCATCAAAAAGATTTTGTGCCTTCATACAAGAATAAGATTATCAATTATCAATATAAGAAAAACAAAACAAAATAAAATTAGCTGGGTGTGGCAGCACATGCCATAGTTCCAGCTACTTGGAAGGCTGAGGCGGAAGGATCGCTGGAGCCCTGGAGCTCAAGGGTGTCTGTGAGTGTGCTACTGCACGATAGCCTGGGAGACAGAATGAGACTGCAACTCAAAAAGATTTAATTTAATTTTAAAAGACATGCAAAAAATAAAATATTATCTTCAAATGGGTTCTAAAAAAAAGAAAAAGTGATAATGACCAAATTTTATAACAAAGTTCATAAAAGCAGAAATTAATAGTCAAAGATTCAACTAAAAAGGCATCCCATAACCAACTATAAAAATAAAGTCTTCAAAATAACAAGTACTCATGAATATGATATATTTCAGTGAAAGGACAAAAAGCAAAATCAGCAAAGGGAAAAGGCACATAGAGTCCAGAGGAAACCAGGCACAAGCATCTAAAAGACCTCTCCCAGGGGACTCACACGGGATGTGTTTAATTCTCAGTACCAAAATGTGACAATATGTATGAAATGATATTGACCAAGAAACTCATTACAGACTCAGTGTCCAAGGTTTCCATCAGGGGCTGGTCACACAGGTACTCGCCACCTACCACACACTAAGATTCCAGACTCCCAGGAGAGCAAGCATTCAGCATAAGTGACATTGTTTGCACAATGGTTTAAAAACAGTAAATCAGTCAACCCCCTCCTGTCCCCTTCCGCTCTGGGAGCTTTTCTGTCCTCTCAATAAATCCTGCTTTCTAAAAAAAATAAAAACACATAAAAATAAAAACACGAGTCACTATTATCATTTAGGAAATCCAAGTCCCCAGACGCTAGCCAAGGGCCAACCTTGCAAGCAAGGGTTTACTAAGAATAACAGTTTCAGACATACTGTGTTAATTCTTTTCAATGTAAGCATGATATGCGCAAGTGACACTCAAAACAATTCCAGTAACAGTAACCATCACCTCCACTACCACCACAATATGGAAAGAGAAAATAAAGCAAATGTGTCATGCTAATAATTGGGTGAAGAGTTTATGAGAGTATTTTCAGTATTTTTACAACTTTTCTTTTAAAAAAATTTAATGGAAATGGGAAGAATTTTATCCCTAACAAAAACAACAAATATATATAAAATATCTAAAAATAACCTCAATAAAACACAGTAACTGGTTAAAAGATAAGCACCTGACTTAAGTTAGCCAATTAGGTAAGGTATTAAGGAAAACTCCTTTTCATTGCTAGACTGGTAAAATGAATCTCGACTGCTTGGCCATCTTACTCACCATGTGACGAAAACCTGAAGGAAGATTGAAGTAAAAATAAGCAAGGTCCAAAGAGACAGTGCCTGGACAATATAATTTGAGTCTCCTGGATCCAGTCTTACCCGAAGCTATCATATGTCTGAAATACCCAGTGATTTAACTTATATCTCTCTTTCCTTCTTTCTTTATTTTTTCACTTAAGCTAGTAAATTAGGTTTTTGCCTCTCATGATCAAGTCTTAGCTAGCATATAATCAAAAACTAATAAACACACAAATAAAATAATACGTTAAACAAGGTAGATGATCCTAAAAATGACTGTAGTAAATCTATAGCACTCAGTTTATAAGCTAAGAAACCATAAATCAACAAAAAATAAATTACTCGATGATAATTAGTATTAGGAAATACAGTTTGAAAAAATTAGAGTCTCTCTTCATATTCCCCATAATTAACTGCCAAAAATAACCCAAATGAAGGGAAAATATATACATACCTAGGTTACTTTCCAGCCACTGATGTCCTTCAATTAGTTGATCAATTAAGGCAAAATAATGTGGAGTAGCTTCATCAGCCATCACCCAGCCACCTGTCACAATTTCAAACTGACCATTTTCTATTAAACTAAAAAGAAAATAGTAAGAGGTTATACTAACAAATATAAGCAAAGTTCAAATAAAAAAATGAGACAAGCATAAATATTTAAGAATAGTCTTTAAATATAATCACTATTTATACTAGTTTTTTTTTTAAACCAGTGAATGAATTTCAACTCCAAGGTCCCATGTTAAATCACCGTTAGTAAAGTGCCTTAAGTGACCCATCTTCTTTCCTAGGCAACATCAATCAGGTCATTGGGGAGGTTCCTTTCCACAAGGCTATAAACACTTACAGAGCCTCAAAGGTTCTCAATGTCAGGAGTCAAATCTTACTTACTTCTAAATCTTGCAGAGCAACTAGAAAAGTGTTTTATTCAGAGTATATCCTTGATGAATGTTTTTGGAGGGCTGTCATTTTAAGCATGATATTTGTTTCAATATATGTTTATCAAAAAAAAAAATATTTACTTTAGTTCTTGTGACACTGGTAAGTTAATCATGCAAACTACTCCAAAAGTAGTAACAAAGGTAAAGCTAGTAAATATCACAAGACTCTAAGAATACAGATAATACTATACTACATTTTGCTCAAGATTTAGTTGAAATGTAGACTATACAGTTTATTTTTCATTAAGTAAAAAGTTTGAACATTATTTGTCTATATTTATTTGCCATAATACCACACAATGTAACAAGGTTCCCAGCCCTAATTATATGTTAGCTAAGACTGTTGATCATGTGAGGCAAAAGCCTAATTTACTAGCTTAAGTCAAAAAATAAAGAAAGAAGGTAAGATATTAGTTAAGTTAAAATTAAGTTAAGAAGATACTTTCCCTGAGAAGAAAAAAATCATAAACTATTAAAAATTTGAAAAAGGACCTAAGGAAGCAAAAAACTCAAGAATTTGGGTAAATATCTTTTTTTTTAATTTTTAATTTGTGGGATACAATTCCAGGTTAGGCATACCAATGTTCATTATGCAGGTACCCTTGTTGATGAGGTGTGCCCCCACCCCACCCCGCAGTTTCCCACTACTGCCAATCCTGCCCCCTCCCCTCACTCCTTAAGTGCCATAGACTCAGTCTGCAACAAAATGGTTTGGACAATGGGATAAAATGTCAGAAAGAAGCAAAGCAGCTTGAGAAAAGATATACACCACTGAATGCCTACATATAGGAACGAACTCCTAAGCAAGTCAAATGTAGTGGAAGCAGATCAGAGTTACAAAGGATGAATAAATATTTTCCTACAAAGCAAATAACAGAAGCCACACATCTGATTTATTCAGACTTATGCATGATCATATAACCAGTGACAGAGTAGATAATAGGCAGGATTTCTAAAAAGTGAAATAAAAATCCTCAACAAAAAGAAATATATTAAATTTACGTTGCCATGGGGATCACCAACCAATATAATTTCACATGGAGAATATGATGAATCATTAGAGTGTGTAAAGAAACCCAAAAGTCCAGTCAAACCTCCGATTCTCAAAGGCCCAAATCAAGAACCTATAATAAAGGAGCTGGAAATTGTTTTAAACACACAAGTAAATTTAAGGCTAATGACTCCCACCCTTACTGCCAATAAGCCTTTACTTGCAATTAGTTCTTTTCTTTAATTTTTCTGGTGACAGCCCAATTCAGTCACACTCTAGATGCCATGGGTCAGGCATGCCACTTATGCCTCATGCTTAGCAGCCTGAGACACCAGAACAGTTTGAGATTTAGACTCTGACAATCAAGTATGAAAACTTGACCTCATTATCTCATATCCCAATAAACAGATCCGTTGGAAAATCTCAGATATAAATTGGCCAAAAAAAAAATTCTTTGTTGATCTTGAATAGTGAATAGGAACTACAGATTAAGAAAACTGAAAAACACATGGAAAAAAATTACTCCAATGATAGAATTTCTCTTTTCCTCTATACTGGTTTTTATTTTGCTACATAATAAAGGCATGAATGGTCTTCAAGAAACATTCAACTATGCAAAGAATCACACATATTATATATAGCAGCTAATTTTCCCAGTTCCATCTGTTCGATTCCATCCCTTCCCCATGATGCCTGAGATGCTACTTTGAAATATTGATTCTTACCTATGCACAATGGCTACTTTAAAGACTATCTAATTAAGCTGGAGAGGCATGGAAATCTTCCCACTTATTAAAAAGTTTCCCAGCCGGGCTCGGTGGCACAGCCTGTAATCCCACGCCTTTGGGAGGCTGAGGTGAGTGGATTGCCTGAGCCCGCGGGTTCGAGACCCGCCTGGGCAGCGAGACCTCATCTCTACAATAAATCAAAAAATCAGCCGGGCGTGGTAGCGCATGCCTGTAATTCCGGCTACTTGGAAGGCTGAGGCGGAAGGATCGCCGGAGCCCAGCAGGCGAGGATGCAGTGGCCACGAGCGGCCACTGCACTCCAGTCTGGGTGACAGAGTGAGACTCCAACTCAAAAAAAAAAAAGTTTCCCAACATTTTCTTATCTATTTTCTTCTCTCCTATCTTTCCCAACCTGGCTGGTCCCAACTGCCCTCATGGCTCAGCTCAAAGAAGTCTTCACGAGCACCCAAGCAAAACCAACACTTCCTCTGTACCTCACACTCTACATATCACACTCAGAAACCAAAAGCATGTTGTTCATTTACTTGTCTCCACTCTTTCCCTCCTTACACCTATCCACCATAGAATGTAAGCACCGAGACAATAGGGACTAGGGTGCTGTTTTATTCACGTTTGCATGTTCTGCACCCAGAAGCTTCCTTCGCATATAACAGGCACTCAAATATTTGTTAGATGAACAAGGAATGAGTGAATGAAGTCATCAGTTTAATATTAGTATTTCCAAGCAGTATTTATATTAAATGAAGCTCACAGACATATATATGTAAGATAAATTAGAAAGGAAAGGGTCCGTTAAAATGAAGCTTCAATAATCTAGGTATGAGGTGATATGCTCTCAAATATGGTAGTGATAATAAATAAGAAGAAAGACAAAAGAGACATTTCATTAAAAATATCAGTGACAATCAGGAAATGACTGAAGATAGAAGAAAGGATTAATGCAAATATAACCTATTGTTTTAATTTCAGATGTCTGAGTGGCAGTATTAATACACAAACAGTTGAGTTGATAAAGGAAGTCACTTTGCTGTAATGAATATAAATTTAGACAGTGCTATTTGATATTACTAAGACATCTAAAAAGAGCAAACTGAAAAAAAAAAACCTTAAGAAAAAGGACGAATAAAAAAGCTTTAGGGGACTTTAAGAGGAAATAGGGAAGGACAGGAAGTCCAAAGAAACTAGTCAGAAGGAGAGCCAAGGATCAGGCAGAAGGATAAAGACAAAAAGAATCCATCTGTGAATTTAGCCTGACACACTCAAGAAAAGAGTAATAAGGAAAAACCTATCCTGCCAGTTGGTAAGAGCCATTAAAAGTTACCATAACTTTACTTAGAAATAGAAACATGGGTCAGAATAGGAAGTTGAGAGACAGACTTTAAAAATATTTGTGTTATTTAAATAGTCATTGAAGATTTCTAAAATAAACTAAAAACAGAACTACCATACAGTCCAGTAATCCCACTCCTGGGTATTTACACAAAGGAAAATAAATCAGCATATTAAACGGACACCTGCACTCCCATATTTATTGCAGCACTATTCATAATAGCAAAGACATGGGATCAACTTAAGTGTCCTTCAATGGATGAATGGATAAGGAAAACGTAGTATATATACATAATGAAATCTTCAGTCATAAAAAAGTAGAAAATCACGTCATTTGTGATAATTTTGATAAGTAAAATAAAGTCAAGCACAGAAAGATAAATATTGTATGCTCTGATTTACACGTGGAAGCTAAAAAAGTTGATCTCACAGAAGTAGAGAAGAGAATGAGACAGATACCCCAAGGAGTATGGATCGGGGTGGGAGGGGGATAAAGAGAGGTTGGTTAGTGGGTACAGATACACAGAAGGAATGAGTTCTAATGTTTGATAGCAGAATACACTGACTATGCTCATCAACAATGTATATTTCAAAATACCTAGAAGAGAGGACTTGAAATGTTCCCAATACATAAAAATGATACTCAAGGTGATGAACACCCCAAATACCCTAACTTGATCATGACCACAGTCTATGCATATAACAAAATATCCCATGTACTCCATAAATACATATAAATTTTTTGTATAATTAAAAATATGTAATTAAAATTTAAAAACCACTAAATTAGTGAGGAAATAATGGAGTATAGTTGTTTTTTAGGACTCAATCAGAGTGATTTTTAAACCAGTTCATAAGAAAAAGCCAAGATATTATGTCACAGAAACCAAGGGACTCATATTTTTAAATAGCATGCTCATATAGGTTTTTAGGAAAAAACTGCACGAATAGGTCAAAAATAGGCATAAATGGTGTCATAATAGCAGGCCAGAAAGAGCACAGGTTTTTAGTTTCTCTCGGCATAATTTCTTAATCAGACAGAACACTTCTGTGGAAGAAAACAGACAACATGATAAACATGCTTTTAAATATTAAGCAACCATCTAGTAGTATGACACTTGATGGAATAATCAGGTGAGTGAGTACTCTTATTTCACTGAACTGCCTGTTTTTCCTAGTATATCATCCTTTAAACCATCCATAAGAATAGAAAAAATAGGTTACAAACCTGAAGATTCTCACAAGCAGGAAGGTTTGGTTTAATATAAAATACTTACTGTGTTAGGCAAAAGCACTTATCATTCAACAACAACCAAAACCCAGTAGCTTCACAAGCACACAGATTTGTCCTGTATTCTAGAAAATATATTATAAGTACTTAAGAAGTAGCTGAGAGAAAAACAAAAAATGGTTTCAAAAATGAAGAAAACAGTTGACCTAATTATTGTGAAGTACAGCAAAGATCATTTAGTGATAAGTACAAAAATTAGGACGGAAAGATTTATAGAAACAATATAGGAAATACTTTTTTTTTTTTTGAGTCAAGATCTCACTCTGTTACCCAGTCTG